GGGGCGCCTGGCTGGCTCTGTCAGTAGAGCACGCAACTCTTGATCTCGGGGTTGTGAGTTCTTGCCCTACACTGTGTGTGGAGATTACTTAAAAATAAAATCTTAAAAAAAAAAAAAATCTGTAGGTAATAGACGCTATAATGGAAACATCTGATTACCCAGAACCTTACATTCCATTTTGGATAAAGAGTAATCTAAAGTGATGGGGGTCATCAGCAATAATTAGACAAAGTATGACTTTGGGGAAGTAGGGTAACAGCTGAGTGTTATGTTCCAATTTCTTTTAAGCTGATGCACTTGTATACATGCATTTTACTTTTTAAGAGGCAGAAGTGTACTGTACACCACATTCTCCATATACCCTTGTTCATGTAAGCCCTCCGGGCATGTTCCAGGCCAGCACATCTGGGTCTAACTACTCTTTCCAACAGCTGTGTTCTGTTCTGTGTGGGAGGCACTGCCACACACATGTTCAGTCCCCTCACTGATGGGCATGCAGACTGATTCCAGTTTCTCGCATGACAATAATGCCACAGTAAACAACCTCAGACATCTATCCCTACTGAATCTGCTAGACCGCTAGGTCAAAGCATATGAGTGGTTTGAATTTGACAGATGTCCAAATCTGTTTCCAAAAAGTGGTGGTAATGTCTACCCCCAACACACTTTATGAGAATGTCCATTTCTCTCCATCTTCACCACCATGATGCCAATTTTTAATCTGCTGGCTGAAAACATGATGCATTAGTGATTTGCTACTCCTTTCCTCAGTGACTGAGGAAGCTAAGCACTGGTTTCGGCTGACTGGTCATTTGCATTTCTTCTTCCATAAACTGTCAGGATACAGCCTTTGACAGTTTCAAATGGGCTACCTGTCTTTTTCTTACTGATGTGTTTGAACCTTTCATTCACTAGGGATCATTGGTAATGTGTACGAAATTTTATTTTAAGACTTTATTTATTTAAGGGCGCCTGGGTGGCTTAGTCGGTTAAGTGTCTGCCTTCAGCTCAGGTCATGATCACGGGGTCCTGGAATCGAGCCCCAGGTCGGGCTCCCTGCTCAGCGGGAAGCCTGCTTCTCCCTCTCCCTCTGCCCCTCCCACCTGCTTGTTCTCTCTCAAATAAATAAAATCTTAAAAAAAAAAGAGGGTTCACATCCCTCAGAGCTATTAAAAAATTAGAGATGATTCAAAAAATTTATTTATTTATTTGAGAGAAAGAAGGATAAATAGACTCCCCGCTGAGCAGGAAGCTCAATGTGGGGCTCCCATCTCTGGACCTTGGGATCACGACCTGAGCTGAAGGCAGACACTTAACCTACTGAGCCACTCAGGCGCCCCTACAAAATTATTTTCTGTTTTTTTTTTTTTTTGCTTTTGTAGTATTTTGCCCTGCAGAAATTTTTATTTTTACATAGTTAAATCCATTTTAATTTCTTAAGAGTTTTTTCTTGCTTGCCCCTGAAGTTTTACAGTTAGTGTTTTTTTCTAGTATCTTAACCTTTATTTTATATTTAGATCTCCAGGGTTTTTCTGGAAAGAAAATTTTTTTTTTAATTTATTCATTCGAGACACGGAGATACAGAGAGAGAGAGAATATGAGCAGGGGGAGAAGCAGAGGGAGGGGGAGAAGAAGGCCCCCGCTGAGCAGGGAGTCCGATGCGGGACTCGATCCCAGGACCCTGGGATCATGACCTGAGCCGAAGGCAGACTCTTAACCATCTGAGCCACCAAGGCGCCCCTGGAAAGAAATATTTTGAAGATGGCCTACCACGCAGTATTTACTTAGTTCTGCCAGCTGACCATCAGTTTTAAAGTATAGCGGCGTAGCAACCTCGTAAGTGAAAGAACCACCCTATAAAACTGAAACCAACTTATTGTCAGAGCGACTTTAAACCAGGACACCTTTAACTTGTTTGGATTATCAAGTATAAGCTGTTGATCTTAAAGACATCAAGGTAGCACTTTTAGGAGTATGAGAGAGCAGAGAAGTTTCATTCCTGTCTGATATGGGCATACTTCCTCGTTTAGGTCAACTCTCTATATACAAAAACTTGAGCCACTCAGCAATTAAATCTATAAGTGCTGGCGTGAAAACTACTCATTTAACACAAAATCTGAAACCATTTAATGCGTTCCTTCTACATTTTTCCTCAGACGATAGAAATTAAGAGGCTTGCAGGCAGGAACATTAGATGGAATGTTTAAAACAAAAACCAAAGAACAAAATACACTCGATGTGATCTGAGCAGTGTGAAAGTTCCTCCCTTTGGACACTCACAAAATCCAGTTAAGAGTGCATGTTTTTTCTTTTAAATAGCCGTAAGGTTAACAGCTCATATACTAACATCTAAGCACTACATCTACTAAGCACTGACCATGCTAAGCACCGAGCATGTAGTACTCTCTAACACGTGCTAACAGTAGGAGGCGGCAATGCTACTTTACAGATGTGGGAACAGTCACAGAAGAAGGCAGTTAGTGGATGTGAAACCAGTTTGATTACATGTCCAAAACCACTCTTCTCTGAGACGGTGAAAATGACTAGGTCTTTATTGCTCCCTGCCTGAGCACCCGCACATCATGTGTGAGGATCACGATGGTGCAGTTTTGCTCATCTTCCCATCCACTTTATGAAACCAACCTTATTTTCCTTTCATTTACTCCATTTTTAATTTTATCAACCAATATCATTGATTTTCTGAAACAAAGTATGGCATTTAAATTAGTTTTTCAAAAATCACAGTTTTTTCACAAGATCATGAAATCAGATTCTTTTTTTTTTTTTTAAGATTTTATTTGACAGAGAGCGAGCACAAGTAGGGGAGCAGCAGAGGGAGAGGGAGAAGCAGGCTCCCCGCTAATGTGGGGCTCAGTCCTGGCCGAAGGCAGACATGTCACTGACTGAGCCACCCAAGCGCCCCAGGTTCTGTTCTTGTTCAAATGATTGTTTTAACCTGTTAAATCTCATTTTGTTGGTATTAACTGCCTGTCAAGATAACTTTGGATCCCAACTCTGTCACTCACTTTAGTACTTATCCCGCTCAGCTTCCTGCCATCTACAAATTCAGAAAGCATGCCTTCTTTGTTTTGAAAGCTATTTTTAAAAATACACTCAGCCAAGCAGGCCCTGTGACAGCGTCAGTGCCCTTCCCACAAGCAGGGAGCAGTTCACTAATCCACTTTCCAGGGAACAGGGGTTTAAACACTGCAGCCCCCCTGCTCCCCAGGCATCCCAGGCAGGGTTGGAGATGCCCCCGCCCCCCCCCCCACTGTGTTCGGTGGCAAGCTGCCAAATACCAGCTTGTAAGAGTTAGGAGTTGTCAGATTTTGTATCTCATAAAGGGTGCCTTCTCCTGAGCAGATAAATTAATTCCGGGTAAAAAGTAATGGAGATTTTTTTTCTTTAAATGATAGGCTTACAGGCACATCTGCAAATCCAAACTCTGCCCCAAACATACTCAGAGAGAAGGTATACTCCACCGACAGGGTTAAAAAAAAAAAAGACTGCATACACAGAGCCAGAGTTTTCACCTACGAGTAGAACAATTTAGCAAGTGAATGGCTCAGAGACAGTCCCTTAGATGTTCCTGCACCATCAGAACGGTAAGTGGGCAAGAGTAAGTGCCATTACTGGGAGTAACGGCTCCATAAAGGCTGGCCCGGCCGTTCGCACCTGAGCAGCAGAACCCGAGCCCGTGCAGGGCAGGACCAGCCCTTCCTCAGGGCGCAAGCTCACCGCCCCTCCACACTGGTATGCTCGCACGAACCAGAGGGCCGAACGCCCCCCACACCGCTGCCTCGCCTAGAATCTCTGCAAATCCCGTCAGAGGCCCCATTCCAGCGCCGCCTCCTTCCGCAGTCTTCCCGGACGGACTACGCGCATCACTCCCCCAGGCACTCGCGATGCCCACAGCCCGTGACTTTGCCAGCTGGAATCACAATCCCTTGCATCCAGATGCAAGCGCTCTTTGCGAGCCAAGGCCGGATCTTGTCCCTTCGTGTTCCCTGCCACAGTGGCTTCCAAAACCTCGGTCCCCAGACTCCTGCCGAGCGGGCCGGTCAACCCCCTGGGGATTTAGCGACACACATTCGGGACCCTGCCTTGGCGGCTTTCCGCTCCAGTGGACGGAGGGGAGCCTGGAAATCTGAACTTGTTCCTAAAGTTCCCCGGGCCGTCTGCCCCCAGACCGGCTCAGAAAGGCGGCCTGCGCGGCAGCGTCCGCGGAACGTCCCGCGCCGTCAAACCCGCAGCGAGCCCTGCGCCCTGGACACGCCGCGCCACCCAAGGCCTGGTCCCCGCCGCTCGTGCGCGGGGCTCACGCACCCGCGCAGGCCCGGCGCGCAGCGGACGAGCGCACGGGCGCTGGGGCCGCGGACGCGCGAGGAAACTCCTGCGAAAGTCGAACCGTAAGAGCGCGGAGGCCGGCGCTCCCTCCGGGCGCGACGCACCAAGGACGCCGGCGGCGCTGGCCGCGGCGCCGGGCGTCGACACAAAGCCACCTGCGGCCCCAACTGGCCGCCCGGCCGCAGCCACGCCCGCGGGGCCGGCGGCGCGGGCGGGCCGCACACAAAGGACGCGCGGCCGGACGGCGGCCCGCGCCCGCCGCCCCGCGCGCAGCAGACATGGCGGAGGCCCGCCGCCGGCCCCGCGCAGGCCGCGCTCGCCCCCGCTCCGCCCCGCCGCCCGCCTCAGGCGCCGCGGGCCGCCAGGCCGCCGCCGGCCGGCCGGGCGGCCACCGCTTACCGACAGCCGGGCGCGGCGAGCGCTCGGGCTCCGGCAGGTCCCCGAACAGGTCCATGGCCGAGGCGGGGCGGCGGCGGCGGCGGTCGCGCAGCCTGCGGGCGGCGGCGGCGGCGGCGGCGGGGCGGTGGCGGCCCGGGCGCCGTCAATCACCCGAAGGCGGGCCCGGAGCACCACCAATCGGCGCGCGGCGTGGCGCGGCCGCCCCAGAGTCCTGCGCGCGCGCGGGCGGGGCGGCGCGCATGCGCGCAGGTTGCCGTCGCTTCGGGCGGGCGGGGGCGCCGCCGCGGCCGCCACGTTCCCCGCAGGCGGCGGGGCCGGCCCTCCCTGCCCTCGCTTGGCCGGGCGTCCGGTTCCTGGAGGGCCGGTGTGGACAGAAGGGTTAGCGCTTAAGGGGCAGCGTAGCGGGCCCCGATGTCCGGGAAGGCGTCCGGTCCTTCGTCCTCACACCGCCTCGGCAGGCCCGCATTCCTGGCCCGCTGTAGAGACGAGAGGGCCGGCGGCCCCGGGCAACCGTGCAGGGCGCTTCCGTCGGCCTGTCCGCGCCAGTGCAGGCTGCTGGCGGGCGGGAACGAGGGCGCCTCCGCGACGTGCCCGGAGACGCAGCGGGCGAGCCCGCCGGCCGTGCGCACGGCGAGGCCTCGGCGTCCTCCTGCCGGAGGGACGCAGTGACCAACGTGGACGCCAGCCTCCGACAGACGAAGAGCACGGGACCGCTCCCATCTTGCTGAACGCACACGGACTGAGTGTAGTCCGAGCCACAGAAGTGACCGAACCTCCCTCGGCCCTGCCCAGTACGAGCAAGCTTTGTCTGGGCCCCCTGCCTTTTGGATAAGATTGATCAGGGCGCCCCGTCCCGGGATTCCCTCCTCTTCCTGACCCCCAGTCCGCAGCAGAGCCCCGCGGAACTACTACCACACACCCCAGTCCCCGAAGCACTTTGCAGCGTCGCCCTAGCTAGGTGTCCCCGGGCGGTGGTCTCCGTCGCTGCTGGCGTGAGTGAGAAACCCAGCTTGTTTCTGGTGAGATGTGGCTTTGGGACTCTGCAGGGCCCAGCAAGCCTTATGCCTCTCTTCTGCGCCGCACGTCACTCAGCACGGTCGGAAACCTCACTGCCCCCGCCGTACCCTCTGGACAGGACCTGCCTCCTCCTCACAGCGGAAATACTCTAACAATACCCACAGTCTCCCGTGCCGTTGCCTCTCGTGCACAGGGCGGCCGACCGGACCCCAGCTTGACCTCACCACTTCTCCGGAACAGTTCCTGCTAAGGCCTCCAGTGACTCCCACTCTGTTGCTAAATGGAGCTGAGCTTTCCAGTCATCTTCCGTGAATCCCAGCAGTATTGACAATGGTGGCCTCTTTCTCCTTGGCTTGTGAGACACATCACTCTCCTGGTTTTATTCCTGTTCTCTGGCCGCTCGGTCTCTCTTCATCCACAGGCCCAGCGCCTTCTGCCCAGCTACTCCTGGATGGAATTCTTTAAGACTAGACCCTGGGTCTTCTCCTCATTCTGTACCCCCTCCCTGGACAATCCCATCCACACTTGGCTTGAATTACTGTTTATCTGAACATGGTTTATTAATTTATATTTCCTGCCAGCTCCAGATCGTGAATTCAAGTAAGTACCCACGTGATACCTCTTGGATGTCTCAAAAGTGCCTCAAATTCAACGTGTCCCAACTGGAACCCTTCTCTCCACTCCCCACCCCTACCCCCTTCAGTCTATTCTTCTTGGGTTGACACAGCCCTGTGCTCCACCCCAGAACTCCTCTATGGAAGAGAGCCTCCGAGTGGCCCCCATGATCTCCATCTCCTAGGATTCAACCCTTGTGTGGTCCCCATCCCTTGAGTGTGACCAGGGCCCATGACTTGCTCTGGCCAACAGAGTCCAACAAAGGTGTCAGGATGTATGTGACTATGTGGATGTGATTCTTTCACACAGGTCTGTGACACCTGTCCTGCTTGGGGACCCTCCCTCCCTTGCTGGCTCTGAAGAAGCAAGCCACCATGTTGTGGAGAGGACCACAGTAAGGAACTGAGGATGGCTTCCAGGTGACGAGTCAGCAAGAATCTCAGGTTTTCAGTCCAAGAGCCCACAAGGAAACGAACGCCACCAACAGCTGTCTGAGCTTTGAAGCAGATCCTTCTTGTTGAGTCTCAGACGAGCGCCCAGCCCCTGGCCAACACCTGACTGCAGCCTCTCAGAGGACCCAGTTGTGCCCAGATTCCCAACCCATGGAAACGGTGGGATACTAGATGGATAGGGCTTTAAGGCGCTAGGTGTGTGGTACTTTATTAGGCAGGGGTAGATGCCCAGGACACCCTCCATCACCAAGTCCTACCAGTTTTATGTCCTGAAAGCCTTTTAGATCCACTCCCTGACTCCCTCCCCCACCAAGTCTGTGTCACTGAATCACAGCCTCCAGTCAGGCTTCTCTCTCAGAGCTTCGCTCAGTCCCTTATCCTTGTCTTTCTCTTGTCCCAAGACGTTTTCTCAGTGGGTCCCTTGGCTTGGTATGTTCTCCTTGACTCCCTTCTCCTGGTTAAATTCCATTCATTCCTCAGATTTCAGCGGAGTCATCCATTCCTCAGGAAAACCTTTCTTGAGTGCCCTAAGCATCCCCCTTTACACCTCTCCGTTAGAGCTTTTATCCCCGTCACAGTTTTACAGGTATTTATGTAATTACTTCATTCATGAGCTGTATCTCTCATCAGAATGTAAGCCAGTAGAGGTCAGGAACCACGTTTGGCTTTATACATAACTGTACCCCCAGCACCTGGCACATAATAGCTGCTCATTATATTGGATGAATGAATGATATGTCTGTTTTTGAAGCTCAAAGTGCATGACACAAGCCTTCTTACCTCAGGAATGTCCAGAAGGTTGGAGCCGAGAGCAGTGCCTCCTGTGTGCTTGCCCAGGACTGCCCAAACTGAGTTTGCTATTTTGCTCTTAGAAAAAAAATCCTAATTTCTGATTTTAAGAGTGTAAACTGTCTAGAGACAAGGAAGGTACCTGTTGTCCCAGGACATTACCAGCTGCCTCTGTGGCAGACGGTATTTTCCAAAGTTTGCTGCAACAATATCTCCCATCCCTCATGCTCTTCTAAAATGTATCCCTGCCACCTTCCATCAAGAGGTAGGCTGCGAGTCCTCTCCCCTTGAAGCTGGGTGAACTGTGACTGCCTTGGCTGTTAGAGAGGGAAAGATGTGCCATTATCTGATCGCCAAGGCTAGGTCATAAAAGGCCATGCAGCTTCTGCCTGCTTCTCTGGAGACACCTGCTGGGGAGTTGGTCACCAGCTGCGCTGGAGAAGTTCCATGTAGGCACAGAACTCAGCAACACAGGCTGAGCTCGCAGCCAATAGCCAGCGCTGGCTGCCTGCCTTGTCAGGTGAGTCATCGAGGACATCCGTCCCAATGGAACCCTCAGATGACTCCAGCCCCAGCCAACATCTTGACTGTGACCTCGTGAGAGACCTCGAGCAAGGACTGCCCAGCTGAGCCCTTCAAGAATCCTGAGCCACAGAATGACAAGCAAAAAATGTTTCTTTTTTTTTTTTTTTTTTTAAGATTTTATTTATCTGACAGAGAGAAACACAGTGAAAGAGGGAACACAAGCAGGGGGAGTGGGAGAGGGAGAAGCAGGCTTCCCACCGAGCAGGGAGCCTCATGCGGGGCTCGATCCCAGGACCCTGGGATCATGGCCTGAGCTGAAGGCAGACGCTTAACAACTGAGCCACCCAGGCGCCCCAAAAAATGTTTCTTAAGCTGCTAAGTTTGGGGGTAATTTGTTACACGACAGTAATAACTGGAAGAGCTTGATGTCCAGAGTGGAATACTGACACCTCAAAACCCCAGCACATAAGGTACTGTCCATGGGCCCAGGCAGCAGGCAGCTAGAATGAAGAAGGAGAATGAAGAAATGACAGCTGTGCTGTATTCCAGGCGGCAGGAAGGATTTTATAGCAACTCTGGTGTGGGGAAGTTTGCATAAATGTCAGAAAAAGCTTCACACTGTGCAAAAGTAATTCACTTCGCTATTTTTATTATGAAGAAGGGGCAGAAAACTGAGAACACTGGGTGCCGCCTGTTTGGGGCCAGGCGCTAGTTAGGCACTTTGCATATGATAATTTGATATAATCTCTTAACAGCCTTTGGAGGAAAGTACTATAGCCTGTTGGATAGGTCTGCAGAGGGGTCCCCTTGCATCTTCAGGTGAGAACCGATGAGCACTAGAGTAGGATGACCACCTAAGGCTGGGGGAAAAACAGGAAGGAACAGGACTAGTAATTCTCGAAGTTCATACAGGGCCAGGAATAGTTCCTGTATCCACTAGCCAGAGTGGAAAGTCCTCAGACTACAAGAGACGTGTGTGCATGGGCACCCAAGTGCATGTGTGGAGTGCACGGCTGTGAGGGGGCCTGGACTGCACACCTTCTCTGGGGCTTCCAAAGTCAGGTGTGAATGTTAGATTCATCTTGGCTAGAGGGCAGCGCACAATGGGGTGCAGGGCTGCCACATCTCTGTAACGGATGGAGAGGAGTTGGGTAGGTGGGTAGGACTTGAGGTCCAAGTTACCTTGGGGTCATTTCACAAGGGGTCCTAAATACCAAAAAGATGAGTGTAACTCAGTGGGGGAGCCATAGACCTTTTCACAATTAGAAAAATTTCAGTATCCTAAAAAGACAATAGTGGATGGGCGCATGTTCTGCTTGCGCCCTCTGTCTGCAATTTGTAGCCATTTCACAGAATGATAAAGCCAGCTACTGTCATGGCAGAAAGAAACCCTGTGGGGGTTGTAATCCCTAGGCCCTGTAGTCCCACCAGCCTCAAGTTAGAAGGGAAATGTGGCCCACTCCGAGCCCTCTTTTCAGATTTGATATTGGCTTCCCTTTATCTAAACATTGACACGCCCAGGGCATGGTCCTAGACCCTCTTTTGTCTTTAATTTACTCACTTTCAAAATCATCTTTATTAGTTCTTTGGCTTTAAATACACCTGTATTCTGATGACACACCTGTACATGTCTCTGGCCTTGACCTCCTCTCAGAACTGTACATACATATATCCCCACCTACCTCCTCAGCATCCCCACTTGGATATCTAGTAAGCACCTCAAATCATGCCATTTACAGTATATGCCAAATACAACTCTTGCCCTCTCCCCAAAACCTATTCACCCTCGTCTTTCTCAAATCACCATTTACCTAGGCATCAGCCTTGATTCCTACCTTTCCCTCATCCCACACATAGAATTCGTTAGTAGGTCTTGCCTGTTCTACTTCCAAAACTCTTCCACGTCCCATTTCTGCCACTGTGACCCTAGACCAAGCCCCATTATAGGCATATCTCATTTTATTGTGCTTTGCTTTATTGTGCATCACAGATACTGTAGTTTTTACAAATGGAAGATTTGTGGCAATCCAGTGTCAAGCAAGTCTCCTGGCCCCATTTTTCCAATAGCATTTGCTCATTTGGTAATTTTTGCAATATTTCAAACTTGTTCACTATATTCGTTATGATGATCTGTGCTCAGTGATCTTTGATGTTACTACTGCACTCGTTTTGGGCACATGAGTGGCACCCATAGAAGACAACAAACATGACCAATAAATGTCGTGCGTGTCCTCACTGCTCCACCCACTGGCCGTTCCCCATCCCTCTCCCTCTCCTCGGGCTCCCTGTTCCCTGAGCCACAACAATACTGAAATTAGGTCGGTTAATAACCCTGCAATGGCCTCTAAGTGCTGAAGTGAAAGGAAGAGTTACATATCTCTCACTTTCTTTTTTTTAAATTTTTTTAATTTTTAATTTTTTTAAAGATTTTATTTATTCATTTGAGAGAGAATGAGATAGAGAGAGAGCATAAGAGGGGGGAGGGTCAGAGGGAGAAGCAGAGTCCCCACCGAGCAGGGAGCCCGATGCGGGACTCGATCCCGGGACTCCAGGATCATGACCTGAGCCGAAGGCAGTCGCTTAACCAACTGAGCCACCCAGGCGCCCACATATCTCTCACTTTCAATCAAAGGCTACAAATGATGACACTGAGGCAGGCATGTCAAAACTGAGACAGGCCAAAGGCTAGGCCTCTTGCACCAAACAGTCCTCCCAGTTGTGAATGCAAAAGAGAAGTTCTTAGGGAAATTAGAAGGGCCACGCCAGTGAACACACCGTTGAGAAGAAAGCAAGACAGGCTTATTGCTGATATGGAGATAGTTCTCGCGGTCTGGATAGAAGATCAACATTCCCTTAAGCCAAAGCCCAATCCAGAGCAAGGTCCTGACTCTCTTCAATTCTGTGAAGGCTGAGAGGTGAAGAAGCTGCAGGAGAGAAGTCAGAAGCTGGCAGAGGTTGGTTCAGGAGGTTTAAGGAGAGAAGTCAGTCGTCAGTCTCCATAACATACAAGTGCAAGGTGAAGCAGCAGGTGCTGATGGAGAAGCTGCAGCAAGTTGTCCAGATCTAGTGAGATAACGAATGAACGTGGCTACACTAAACAACAGATTTTCCCAAACATTAATAAGAGTTTGGAAGAAGCTGATTCCAGCCCTCACGGATGACATGGAGGGTTCAAGCCTTCTGTGAGGAAGCCACTGCAGATGGGCTGGGAACAGCAGGAGAACTGGAATTACAAGTGGAGCCGGAAGATGGGACTGAATTGTGACAATCTTGTGATAAAACGTGAGGGGTGAGGAGTTGCTTCCTATGGATGAACAAAGAAAGCAGTTTTCTGAGACAGAATCTAGTCCTGGTGATGATGCCATGAAGACCGTTGAAGGGACAACACAGGATTTAGGACATTACGGATGCTTAGGTGATAAAGCGGCCGCAGGAAGTTCTACTGTGGGTGAAATGCTATCAAACAGCATCACATGTGACAGAGAAATTGTCCGTGAAAGGAAGGGGCCATTGATGCACCAAACTAACTTTGTTGTCTTATTTTAGGAACCTGCCACAGACACCCCGGCCATCAGCAGCCACCACCCTGATCTGTCACCGGCCATGAATATCAAGGCAAGAACCTCCTCCAGCAAAAGGACTATGACTCAATGAGAGCTCAGATGACGGTTAGCATTTTTTAGCAATAAAATATATTTTAATTAAAGTATGTATATTTTTTAGACATAATACTGTTGCCTACCTCACAGACTACAGTATCATGTAAACATAACTTTAATATGCACTGGGAAACCAGTAAGTTCACTTGACTCACTTAACTGCAATATTGGCCTTATTGTGGTGTTCTGGAACCGAACCCCCAATATCTCTGAGGCATGTTGGCATTTCTTTCTGAGACAAATGAGACTGCCTCCTCCCTGTTAGACTCTTGCCCTCCTATAGTTGATTTTTCAGAAAGGGAGAGAGATCATTTTAAAACACAGCTTGGCCTATTGCCCTCCCCTGCTTTAAGTTTCTCAGTTGCTTCCCATTTGCTTGGAATCAAATCCAAACTCCCTGCCATGCTTATGAGGTCCTCCATTAGCTCCCCTCCTCCCCCCTCCAACCTCATGAGGCCCATCCCTTGACTGTGGCACTGCCCCTGGGCTCCTTTCTTTCTCCAGGACACAGCAGGTCTTTGGACCTCAAGCCTGGGTCCCTGCCGTTCCCTTTGATTAGAACAACTTCCACTCCTGAAGCGGCTGCTCACTCCCCAAATTCAGCTCAAAGGTCACTTCCTCAAAAGGCTTTTCTGGACCCCATCTCAGGCACTGAGATGAGCAATACACATCTTATTTATGAATATATTTGACTTTTCACAAATGAGATTTGATCTAACATTTTCTGAGAATTTTTAACCAGGAAAATAAATTTACTAGGACACTTTTATACTTCATTCATGTAAGTCAGTGATAAATAGGTCACCATTATTCACTTTTTTTAAAGATTTTATTTATTTATTTGACAGAGAAAGACACAGCGAGAAAGGGAACACAGACACAGTGAAAGAGGGAGTGGGAGAGGGAGAAGTAGGCTTCCTGCGGGGCAGGGAGCCCGATGTGGGGTGGGAGCCCGATGAGGGGTGAGAGCCCAATGCGGGGCTTGGTCCCAGGACTCCTGGGGTCACGACCTGAGCCGAAGGCAGATGCTTAACAACTGAGCCACCCAGGTGCCCCACCATTATTCACTTTTTTATATAAAAAATACTTTTACTACTTTATTTCCGCCGGGTACATAATTTTCTGCTATTTGTAATGATTGATTTCTTTGATTTTTTTTTAAGTAAACTTTTTTTTACTGAAGTAAAACCATACTTACAGGCAAGTACACAAATCCTAAGTGTATATAGCTTGATGAATTTTCACCAAGTAAATACTCCCACTAACTAGGACTCAGATCACAAAACAGAATATTTCATGCATCCCAGAAGCCATTTCCAGTCACCACCCCTCAAGGTTAGCACTATGCTCCAGGTTGATTTTGCCTGGGTTTGAACCTCATATAAGAGGAATCATACAGTATGTGCTCTTCCAACTCTGACTTCTGTCGCTCAGCACCATGTTGGTGAGACTCGTCTGAACTGTTAGCGGTCGGACCTGACCTCTTCTCGTCACTGCCCCTCACAAATGCGCCCTTGCGTTTACGGACAGCTGAGTTGTGTCCAGCCTGAGGCTCTCAGCAAATGCTACCGCTCTGAACGCTCCCATGCGGGTCTCCTGGTGCGCACTGGCTCTTCACTGGGAGGGGCCCAGGGAGGCAGTTATGGGGTCTTGGGTATGTTTATGTTCTGCGCGGTTGATGACTTTCCTTAGTTGACTTTTTCATTGTGGTAAAATATACATAACAGAAAACTTACCATTTTAGCCATTTGAAGTGTCCCCTTTAGCGCCATTAGGTGCCTTCACAACACTGCACCACAACCACTGTTTCCAGAACTTTTCAGCGCACCGGACGCCAAGTGATACCTCCCGACCTCTTTCTTCCCCTGCCCCCAGTACACTCTAATCTGCTTTGTCTCTGTGAATTTGCCTACTCTAGGTAACTCGTGTAAGCGGAACCCTACACTGTTTGTCTTCTGCTTGGCTCATTTCACCTGGCAAATGTTTTCAAGATTCACCCATGTTGTAGCATGTATCAGAACTTCCTCTTTTTTTTTTTTTTTGCTAAATAATAGTCCAAAGATTTTTCTAAAGACTTTTTTTTTTAATGTTCTAGGCAAGTGAATTCACTGTGATTGGCTCATTTATTCCAAAGAATTGTCTTTATTTTTCATGCATACTTTTCTGCAGTAATATAACAATCAAATTTTTGCAATGCAAAAAAAGGTTTCAAAGATTAGAAAAATTTAAACAGAATCTGTGACCTTGAAAAGTTGATGTTTCATTGTGATGGTCTCTAAAATGGAAGTGTTTTTTTTTTTTTTAAATATTCAATCTGATGGTTTATTAGATGACGACTTGCAGATGATGAAATCAGAGAAACAAAGAATGGCAGAATTTTTTTTTTAAGATTTTATTTATTTATTTGACACACAGAGAGAGAGACAGAGCACAGGCAGGGGGAGCAGCAGGCAGAGGGAGAGAGAGAAGCAGGCTCCCCGAGGAGCAGGGAGCCCAATGCAGGGCTCCATCCCAGGACCCTGGGATCATGACCTGAGCCGAAGGTAGTCGTTTAGCTAACTGAGCCACCCAGGCGCCTTGAATGGCAGAATATTTTGAATGATTTTAGCTATGACACTTTGAACAAAAAGTAACGTGCATCTTAGAGAATCCCAAGAAACTGCTGGAAGTCCCTATGTCTTGTCTAATAAAATACAGAACAAATGTGTAATGCTGTAAGCAAACCACGTAGATCGCCTATCAAGAATTAAGGATGCAAATACTTTTCCTTACTCTCTGATTGTGCCCACTGTAAACAAGTGTCAGACTGTGAGGGCTGCTTGCATGGAGAGTAATGTCGTAAGGATAAAATAACGTATACTGACTTTATCGGAATGAAAGAAAAAGCCTCCTAGGTCTAGCGCAGGAAAGTAGAGGTTGGAAAGAGAGTTGATATAAAAAGTGCTCGTGAGCAGGGATGTAATAAGGGAGCAAGGATGGCGAGTTATACAAGAGCGCGTACACCATGATTTTCCCCGAAATATGACTGTCACCTTGGTGCCTCCCTCACTCATAATCTTCATGTGCAAAAATGCCCCTTGTGTGAAACCAGATTTGATAAGCTTCTTTGGCACTGTGTAAAAGATATACACATGTATCTTTTTTTGTGATTTCAAAAAAAATTAATGAGCAGAAGGGATATTCTGATGTCTAAAACCTCCGTTAAAAACACATCCAGATACCCCATGAGGTTCAAAATTAAATGCAATCAGGCACTTCACCCACAAAGATATTTATAAATATTGAAATATATATCAAATGAAAACTACAATATGTTGACATTGAAAGCATCGCAGTGCAGACTGCACACGTCTCACGTCTGTGTGGGACGCTAGACAGTGAAACACGACTGTGCATCCAGCTGTGCTTAATGCTGTCCCTCTGCTTACAGCACAAATGTAACTTGAAAGTCGCCGATGAATGTAAGATTGTAGCGGAAGATATGAACATACGGCCTGAGTTTCAAAATAAAAATATGGAAGTTGAAAAGGAATCGCTGGACAGTGGGGCTAATGATGAGAAAGCTGCACAGCCGATGGAGATTAAGCTCCCACTCTCCTGCCACGTCTTCAGATTCTAATGCTGTGCCAGGAACTACCTCTGAAGGCTACACATTCCAAGTTCAGGATGGCACTCCTGGAACCTTAAAAAAAAAAAAAAAGCTGTCTTCAGATTCTGAATTTTTAACTGGAGAAAAATTATTTTCTGTGTATACATCTGATTTCCGCAAAGCAGCCACCAATTGGACTCTTCAATATTCTGACGTAAATCCTCTGGACTACAGAAGTTTCATCTGGAATTATCTAAGCAGCATGCAATATCAGTACTTGATGATGTACAATGATCCCCGTGTCTGGCGTCTGCATCTTCTAGAACAGTTCACAGTGCGGAGTGCACGCCTCTCTACTCCGGGAGCGGCCTCGAGAAGGCCGTTCACCCTGCCCGTCCCAGTGGCGTCCCATAAGACATCTCGGTAAGCTGCAGTTCATGACCATGAAACATTTAAGCTCATCACGTGGTCAAAAGAAATCAACCTGGCCATTCTCTCCACTGAAAATAAGGAATAGACTTTGGAAATATGACTGAGTTTGTTTCCATTAAAACTGGTAAGGTAAAATCATCAATTGGTTTTATATAAATATTTAAACTTAAGAAATATTTTGAATTTTAATATACCTATTTTTTAAATTTTCAATGGGTTTTCACCTGCTTTAACGCTCTAGAAATTCCTCTTGCTTTGTGCTCCATGATTGCCAGGCAGGGTACTGAGCGTTTGCCTCTGAGAGGGAGTGGGGACTGATTGAGGAGCATGAGGGGACTTTCTCGGGGTGACGGGGATGCTCAGGATGTTGATAAGGGTCTGAGTTACAAAGGTGTACGGATTTGGCACAACTCAGCAAGGGTTCACTTATGAGCAGGGCGCTTCACTGTAAGTTTTGGGCCAAAAGGAATACTGTGGACAATGAATTCTAGTTAATGTGTGCATGCTGAAGCACGCAGGGGAAAGCATCCTGGAGTCTCTAATTCACTCTGAATGCATCAAGAAAAAAATGGACTCATGGATGGTTGCCCAGATGCAAGAAAGTCTAGGAAAATGTGAACGGTACAACTGCAGATTTCCATAGTAAAGTGTTGGGGAAGAGAGAAGGCGCCCCTCATCCTCTATACTTTGCTGGTCCACCTGAGCACCCCCTCCAGCCTGAGTGTCTCCTGGTGGAACCACTGGGGCGGATGTGGGTCCAGTACCCTGAGGGAGAAGTGGGCAAACCTCCAGGGGGCTGCATGAAGCCTCGGAGGAAAGAATTGGCACCAGGCAAGAGGAGTTACGGAGTATGCTCCCCAAATCGGGCAGGGCTGGGGCCGGGAATCCATCTTCTCCCTCCCTTTTCCTTCCATTCCATCAAGACTGACAGCTTTGCCAGTAAAGAAACCTTGAGCCCTTCCTAGATTCGGTTTATTACTTACACAGACGATGAAAGGAAGACTAGCCAAAGGTGCCAGGTCTCCAGCACCCTCATGCAGAGTAAAGGGGAAGTGGCCAGATGACCACGATGTGGAAGACCGCCCCTCCTGCTGAGGGCCCCTGCCCTCCCTGGCTAAGCCGCTGTATGGCTTCAGGCCTCATCGGAGCCTGCAGGTGGCGCACCCTGTGTCAGGACAGCCCTGGGGACAGGGAGTCAGCTCCTCCCACGCTGTTCTGTTCCGGGAATATCACAAGGCGTTCTCTCAAGACTTGGATCCGTCTGGGGTCCAAGCCTTGTCTGTGTGGCCGGGGGCACCAGGGCTCCTACACTTCCTTCTCAGATTTTCCTCCCTGTTCCTCCACTCCCAAGACTGGACCATCAGGGGCTCTGGAAGTATAAAGAGATTGCGGGCCCACCGTGGCTCTGAGGAAAACACAAATAACTCGTAAGCTTCTTCTTTTTTTAAAAAAGATTTTATTTATTTGAGAGAGAGAGAGAGCGCATGGGGGGGGGGAGTGGGAGAGGGAGAAGCAGGCTCCCCACCGAGCAGGGAGCCCGATGCGGGGCTCGATCCCAGGACCCCGGGATCATGACCTGAGCCGACGGCAGACGCTTCACCGACTGAGCCACCCAGGCGCCCCTAAATAACTTGTAAGCTTAAGAAAAGATGCTCCATGTCACTCGGGAAATGGGAACGAACAATAATCAGATGCCCTGGAAGGGCTTACTCAGGGAATGACGTAGACAGAATGCTTTTTAAAGGAGGACACCTCTTGCCACTGCACTGGGTACAACTCTCTGGGTACACCTCTCTCGTGATGGAACAATTCAGGCTACAGTTTGAAAAATGCCAGTAAAATAAGCAGAGTATCAACGCACGGAACGCAGCATTGCGACGTCTGGAGGCCCGGGGCCGCTGGAGGAGCAGAAACAGAGCGGCCCCTACCACGGCCCTCGATGACCCCACTCTCTGGGTCCCCGTGCCCGGGTGATCCCCTCCCCTGGAGTGCGGCCTGCACCTGACAGACAGATGCCCTCTTAAATGAGGCTACAGAAAAGGCGGCCTTCCTCCTCGCCTGCCCTCCCGGGCTCCCCCAGAGGGAAGCCGCCGGCCCCGCGCTGAGCCGCCCTCTGGAGAGACCAGTGTGGCAGAGAGCAGGACAGCCCGGGAGGAACTGGTCCTGGCGCCACCAGCGAGGGAGCTCGCGCGTGCAGCCTGCCTGCGTGGAGCCTCTGATGGCCACGGTCCGCAGCCTCGAACACAGCCCAGGGCGCAAGCCCCCGACGAAGCCGGGCCTGGTCCCTGACTCCGGGACGGAACAGATGCTGGCCTTGGGCTGCTAACTTGTGCGGCGACTTGCTACACGGCCACAGATAACTCTGCTTGTCCACTTCTGTGATTTTCCTTCTACGGGATACGGAGTCCGTGGCCAGCTCCCGCTGCCCCGGCTCGGCCTACCCTCCCTGAGTTCAGGGAGGGCGAGCAGCCCTGCTCGACTGCAAGGCCGCTGACAATCCCAGTCCCCACTGACCCCGGGAAGCTGCTGGAGAGGGAGCTCATGTGGGGAGAAGCAGAATGAAGCCCCAGAGGGAGCGCTCTCTGAAGCACTTCTGGGTGCTTCACCCTCCTGGTTCCTGCCCCCCCCCATCCCCCCGTGTCATTCCAGGGACCAGAGACGGCCACAGGAAATTCTCAAGTCAGATTCAGGAGCATGGTGACCTCTGGGGTCTAAAAGTAAGTCCTCCTCCTCTGCTTAACCTCCTACCTCCCCCTGTCAAGAACCTGGCTGTCCTGCAAGGCTCACATACCACCTCCTCCAGGAAGCCTTCCTTCAGGAGCCTCTGCTTGCGGAAGGTCATGCCACCCTTTCCTCCACCCTCCAGCCCTATTTCTTGTTCTTTCGTGGCCTTTGTGTCTTATGCATTAATGATCAGGAAATGTCTGTCTCCCCTGAAATTACACTGTCCTTAAGGCAGAGGCCCTGCTGCTCTGGGTGGTGGGATTTCCTGCTGGAACTCTTCCTGGTTACAGGGGGCACGGGCTGCCCCCGAGATGTGTTCTCAGCTTCTCTGGAGCAGCGTGTGCATGCTCGCTGCCCACCCCCAGCCCGCCCGTGCCAGGGAGGCCCGTCCGTCCAGGGCCCAGCAGAGGGGTCTCACACCGGCTATGCTGTTACAGAGCACGGAGACAGCCAGGCCTCAGGAGAAGTCCAGGGAGTGGGCCTTGCTACAGACCAGCTCTTAAGGCAAAGCCCGAGGACAAAAAGCCAAGAGCTCTGTGCCCAGGGGCACCTGGGTGGCTCAGTCGTTAAGCGTCTGCCTTCGGCTCAGGTCACGATCCCAGGACCCTGGGATCGAGCCCTACATCGGGCTCCCTGCTCCGCGGGAAGCCTGCTTCTCCCTCTCCCACTCCCCTTGCTTGTGTTCCCTCTCTCGCTATCTCTCTCTCTGTCAAATAAATAAATAAAATCTTTAAAAAAAAAAAAAAAAGAGCTCTGTGCCCAAAGGACCTGTGGGAGCTTTTGGAGGAGGAGCCAGCTGGCCGCCGGGCTCCCCCGAGAGTCTCGGCGTTCATAAGGAGCCCTCACCAGACCCTTCGAGAGAAGCGCTGGGGTCTGGCCTCACAGCCTCACCCTGTAGCTCTGATATTCCCACAGGATATGTGTGGGAATATTTGGTTCCCCCTCCTGACTTTGTCCCGGCATCTCCAGCTGAGCCCGGGGCCTTCACTGAAGTCTGAAGCCCCCACGAAAGACCCCCTCCGTGCACTGGTCCTCAGCTATGTTAACTGGGTAGCCCTCTTTTTTAACCACCAGAGTCAAGCCCAGCAGGAGCTGTCTGTGGGCACTGGAGGAGGAAACAGAAGAAGGGGAGCATCCTGCCCCCCACTCCCAGCCCACCTCTCCCCGTGGGCAGCCGGGCTCCCCGAGGACTCGCCTCAGCAAACGCTGGGCACGCTTCCTTGGTGCCCCGCAGCTCTCCTCAGCATGGTGACTATGGTAGGCAAGGCGCTGCCCCAGGAGGAGAGGAGCGGAGGGCCCGGAGGAAGAGTCACCTGCCCTGCAGAGCTGGGCTGTCTCGCTCCGCCCCACGGCCAGAGAGAGGGGCAGGCAGCAGCCACAGGGCAGCGCGCTCCCCCGAGGGAGGGAGGCGAAGGCAGAGGAAGGCTGGAGCAAGACAGGGAAGGAAAGGCAGGAACAGAGGTGGGGGGAGAGCCCACGGAGGGTGGGTGTGGAGGACAGGTGCGATGGGGAAGGGCAGAGATGAGGGGCAGCAGAGCACGAAGAAGAGAACAAGGTAGAGACAGAAAGAGAGGCCATTCTAACCAAGACCCGTGCACGTTTTGCCCCCACAAAATTCAATATCCTTCTCTTAAAAAACTTGTTTTCATCGTCGTAAATCAGTGAGATAGGGATGTCTACTATTAAGGAGAGTGCAGAAAACTGCCCCCTTCCCCACTGAAGGTGGAGTGTAATGCAAGACAGGTTTTCAGGGCAGCAATCTGACATTTACACATTTTCAATGACATGCCATCTTAATTCTAGAAACATAGGGTACATGTTGCAAAGTACCCAGGCTGTTCGCTGAGCACTGGTCTGGAAAAGCCTTGGAAACCCTGTCTACACCCCAGGCGAGGCTACTGTGCCTGAGAAGCCTCTGTGTGCGGCATCGCGGTGGGTCAGGCAGGCCCCGCGAGGAAGGGGCTTTTCCTCCTCATCACTGTGTCCCTGGTGCGAGGACAGAGCATGCCACATCACAGGTACACCACTGAATCAAGGTTGTGCTGCTGGGGTCAAAAAGGTGCAGAATGGTACGTACAGGATGGCCCCATTTGCAGAAAAAGACATCTATCCTAGATACATGCTTGCAGAGGCATGGAAAGCATCAGAAGGGTCACCCAAGAAACTGTTAACTGTGGAGACTCCTGGAGCGGGGGATGAAGGGATGGGGGGAGAAGACGGAAGGAAGACCCAGGTTTTCCATGGCCGGCCTTCTGTAATGCTTGATTTTTCCTGGGAGTGTGTATGGCTTTTTAAAGAAAAATCTAGTTTAAGAAAAGTTACTTAACCTCTCTGAGCCTCAGTTCCTCACCCGTAAAATGGAGACTACTGATACCTACGTTGGGTCGGGGTCACTGTGACATTTAAGGAACGGATAAGATCCCGTACACCGAGGGCCCTGGCACCTGGTGTCAATGAAGGGATGGCACTGCTGTTGTTACGGAAGGAAATACAGACACACAAGGAACGACTGTGAGGAGACTATGGGGACCCAGCTGCCCAGGCCCCAGAACCAGCCCCACTTGCTATTTCTTCTCCCTGGAACATCCCTTCCCTGGAGAGCTGCTTGCTCGTTCCTCCACATCATCACTTCTCTGCTCGAATAAAGCCTACCAGACAGGTTGTCTCTAACCAACCCACCTACACCTGCACCCTGCTTCCGCGCCATTCCTCCCTGTCCTCTTGACCTACTTTATTTTCTTCTTGGCATAGAAACACTGCCTGCCATATCATCTATTTTTTGTCTGGTTCCCTGCTAACAGTGCACGCTCGAGAAGAAACTTTATCTCCAGCAACTGGAATCATGCCTGACAAAGAGTAGGCATCCAGTAAATATTGTGAGAGAATAAATAAACATTGTCTTAGTTATACCATCAGGCAAATGAAAGAGAGACACTTGAAAACTGCCTAAAACTGGGTGCCCGGGAAAACCTTCCCAACCTTGAAAGCAATTGCAGAGAAGAGCAGCAGGGGTGTGTGTGTGTGGCCACACACCTGGCAAGGAGAGAAAACAGGGACGGGAGCGGGGGAGAGGGGCTTGGAGGCGGAGCTCTGAAGATCTCAGCGGACCCAGGGGAGTCGTGGGCCTCCTGCGCTCTGCTCATCTGCACAGTGCTGGGCTTTGGAAGGACTGCAGTTCAGGAGGTAATCCTAGGTGTAGTTTTCCTAAGCATCACTGCCATCCTCCAGCTGGGGGGTAAGAACCTGACCTAAGAACGTGGCAGCAGGGACAGTGGGAGAGGGACGAGGAAGGAGATGCAAACTCATTCATTTGTTACAGCGACTAAAGAGGTAGAACTGATAGTTACTGACGTTGCTCACATGGTGCAGCGGAAGGGCGAGGAGGTATCTCCTTGACTGTCGGGCATCTGCCCTGGGTGGTTGAGGACGGCCGTGGTGCTCTCAGGGATCCAGAACACGACAGGAGGTGCAGGTCCTGCAGAAGAGCTGGGTTCAGGTGGAATTTGCTGAGTTTGAAGAACCTGTGGGAGCCATGAGCGCCAACAACCAGGGGCAGCTGGATAAACGCCACGAGAGCTCCAGAGAGCCCAGCTGGGCCAGAAGTCATTTTTAGAGTCAGTGACACAGGAGGGAAAGCCATGGAGATACACAGACTAGAGATAAGAGGACTAAGGAAGGAAACACGAACAGAGCAATAAATCGTGGGCTGAGAAGAGCCCTGTCTAGAATCTGAGAAGGACTGGTTGAAGAAGCAGCAGGACAACTAGACTGAGAACAGGGTTTTAAGAAGCATGAGGTTACTGACAGTGCCAAATGCTGCAATATTTACCTACGAAGAAAACTGAAGAGTCTGCTTGGCAATAAGGACTTCGTCAGAGACTTCCAGAAGTCTTCAGTAGAGTGAACAGAAATTGGGCCAGAGTGAAATTTTATGATGAGCAGACAGGTGAACAAATGCAGAAAATGAGAATAGAAATGATTTTCAAGAAACCTGACTGTGAGGGGCCTGGGTGGCTCAGTCGGTTAAGCGACTGCCTTCGGCTCAGGTCATGATCCTGGAGTCCCTGGATCGAGTCCCGCATCTGGCTCCCTGCTCGGCAGGGAGTCTGCTTCTCCCTCTGACCCTCCTCCCTCTCATGCTCTCTGTCTCTCATTCTCTCTCTCTCAAATAAATAAATAAAATCTTTAAAAAAAAAAAAAAAAGGAACCTGACTGTGAAGCAGATGCCAGGAGCAGACTAGGGGATCTCAAGGAGGTTTAACAAGTTTGTTGGGAGCGAGTGGGTAAGACAGAAGGTAGGAGCTTACAGCTGGGAGCTAGCCTCACTGTGAGGGGTGACTGCGATGCCTAAGGGCACGGACAAGATGTTCCGAGGCTCAGGGAGGGCAGGATCGGGAGGGGGCAAGAGGACAGTACCGCAAGTGTCATCCACTGACGGCTGAGGCAACAGTGAAGCAGAACAGGTGCAGCCAGAGTAAGATACCCGGGCGCTCCCACGAGAAGCTGGTAGCCTCTGGGTCCCCGGGGTAAAACCGTATCCCTTCTCCCCCTAGATCCACCCAAACCCGAGGGCGGACCTGAATTATCCGATAGGCAGCGGGCTTCCCTGGCTGCTCTCAAAAGCGATGCCTGTCCACCTCTGCAGCTTGCGGCGGCCTGCGGCTCTCCGTGGGCTCTCGGCCATTTTAAGAGAATCCCAGCTGCACGACAGCAGGGGTCTGTGCGGTCAGTTTGTCTCGGGCCGCAGCCCACGCCAGGCGCTCGGCGCCGGTGCAGAGTGAAGGCCGCTCAAGGCGGGGCTTGCTCGGGCACCGTCAGCAAGGCTCGCGCTCCCCCCTCGACAGACCCGCCTCCGCTCCACAGCCCGCAGCGACCCCTCCTTCCTCGGCACCAGCCGCTGGCGGCTTTGCCCGCACTTTCATGCCCGGACCTCCCGAGACCGGGCGGCAGTCTGAGCGGAGGCCGGCCGGGGCGCCCTCTGTCTCCGCGTCCTCGAGCTACGAGGCGCCTTCCTCTCTTCCTGTCCCGGTCGCAGGGCGGCTGCAGAGTCGGCAGCCCAGCCTCGTCGGCCACACGGCCCCTCCGCCGACCGCGCGAGGTCCCCGCAGGCGGCTGGGCCCCATCCCGCGGAGGCCCCGGCTCTGGGCGTTCGCGGCAGGGGGCGTGGCCTCCGGGCCGGGAGGCCTCTGGGAGTCGCGGTGCCGGCTCCGCCCGAAGCGGCCTCGCAGAAAGGGAAGTGGAAGGAGAAGAACTACATCTCCCAGGAGGCTCCGCGGTTCGTCTCCGGCGGGCGGGGTGGGGCGTGTTCAATGCCTCCGCCCCGCTGAGCGCGGAACGCCTCCCGAATGTCCCCAGGGTGCCCCCCGGCGTCTCCGAGCGCCTCCGTGAGCTGGGCGCCGGGAGTCCAGCCCGAGGGCCCCTGGAGCTCCGCTCCCTTACTCCCAAATCCCTCCGGTTTCCCCAGCGCCGGCTCCAGGCCGTCCAGGAATAGCACTGAGCGAGACTGGCCGGATCCCCGCTCTCAGGTCTCTAGCCAAGGCCCGAGCCTAGAGCTACGGGAGGGAGGGACCCCGGAGGCGGCCTCTGCCAGGAGCCCCACGTGGAAGTGGGGAGGCGAGTTAGCCCTGCTGCCCAAGTCCAGGTTAAAGATGAGATGAGGATGTCAGCACTCTGTCGGTGGAAAGATGACAACTGGAGACTGGATTTAGAAGTAGAGCTCACGGGGAGCCTGGGGGGCGCAATCGGTTGGGTGCCCGACTCTTGGTTTGGGCTCAGGCCGTGATCTCAGGCTGTGATCTCGGGTGGTGGGATCAATCCCATTGTGGGACTCTGCGCTCGGCGGGGAGTCTGCTTGGGACTTTCCCTCTCCCTCTGCCCCTCCTGCTCGTGCTCTCTCTCAAATACATAAATCTTAAAAAAAAAGTATAGCGCATGCACGTGATCGGCTGGAGGTGAGATGACAAGCAAAGAAAGAGTGTGGCTTCTATAGATTTTTTTGCCTAATCAGTAGGGTGCCATGAACGGGCAGTGAGTGGGGTAGTGACAGTGCATCAGGGGTGAGAGTCTGGCGCTTGGGCTGTGGTTTGTGATGCCCATTGGACGTCGGAGTGGAGATACTAAGCAAACAGGAGAGTGTAGGGGCCCACAAGGATGGAGGTGGGCTTTGGATCAAGGGCGCACGATGGAACAAACCAAATGGACCAAGTGGGGTCTGGGCAGGGGTGATAGGGAAGGACACAGAGCCTCAAGTGTGCATCTAGGAGAGGTGAATCTAGCAAAGGAGATTGGGGATGGCCAGTGACAACCCAGGACACCCGGTGTTTTTGAGTTCGAGAGGAGAGTTTCAGGAGGGAGGGACTGATAATCCACGAGTGCTTCACTGGAAGAACGTTGAGCAAGAAATTTAAGACAGGACCACTGGACTTGGAAACTTGGCAGTCACTGGAGATTTTGACCAGGGCAGGGTCATTGGAGGGGAGGGAACAATGGCCTGACAGAGAGGCATGAAGGGAGGTGAGAGGTGCGCAAGTGGAGACAGCTAGCGTGAACAGCGCTTTTACAGAATGTTGCTTTCGAGGAGAGCAATGAGGCAGAAGCTAATAGGGTACGGCAAGTCCAAGGAGGTTTTATCTCCACTTTCTCTAGATGGAGATATTTCAGCTTCTTTGCAGAATGAGGCAGAGGGAGGAGAGATTAGTGATGCAGCAGAGTCACTGAGAGGTCGGAGGGGACCGAATCCAATGCCTGCATGGAAGGCTGGCACCATACTGCATCATGATGGAAGGCAGGATGCCTGGGCAGAGGCCCATGTGGGTATGGTTGGCAGAATAATGGTCCCCCAAAGATGTCCACATCATCATTCCTAGAACTTGTGAGTGTGTTACCTTACATGGCAAAAGAGGTTTTGCAGATCTGATTGAGGATTAAGGGCCTGGAGACAGGGAGATTTTCCTGGATTATCCAGGTGGGCCCAGTCTCATCATGAGGCTCCTTAAAAGTGGAAGGAAGAGGGAGGCACAAGGGTCAGAAGGAGATGTGACTATGGAAGAAGGGTGTGATAGATGCATTGTTGCTGGCTTTGAAGGTGGAGGAAGGGGGCCACCAGCCAAAGAATGTGGGTGACCTCTGAAGCAGGAAAAGGAAAGGAAATGGATTCACTCTCAAGCCTCCCTGAGGGAATGTAGCTGTTCTGAAAGCTCTAGGCTCTTCTTTAGCCTAGTGAATCCTGTGTCAGACTTCTACAGAAATGCAAGATAATAAATTAATGTTACTTTAAGCCACCAAGTTTGTGGCGATTTATGGCAGCCACAGAAGACTAATACAGTGGGCCAGGGACTTGAAGTGGGAGGGAGGCTCATCTCAGGGAATGACGAAGCAATGCTACCAAAGTCAAGAGCAAGGCCTATGAGGGAGCCTTGGGGGTTTCAGAGAGGGGAGGTGGTATGAAATAGTTGTCTGGCAGAGTGGGAAATTTGCAAAGAGCTTTTGAAGGAATGCAGGCAGGAAGCTGGTGGTCCAGGCTGCAAAGAGGCGAGAGCAGCTCTCACTCATAGAGGCTGATTGTGGTCGCCGCTCTGGGGACCACTTACATGTCTGGTAAAGAGGCTGCTCCTGAGGCACACAGTAGAAGCTGACTCAATCAGAGGTGGGAGGAAGGCAGGGCCAGAGCTTTGGCTTAGTGGCTTCTGACCTGAGGAGGCGACACCCTTCCCCCCAGGTCAGCCTCCTGCACCTTGCTTCCCGAGTCCTGGATCCCCTTGGCCCTCTTCCAGGGTCTCTGGGAGTATGTGACAAAGTGTGGGCATGAGAGGAAGGAGTTGATGCTTCCAAACAGTCCCTGGCGGATGCCCCCCAAATGGCTTTAGGACTCATCACAGTGGCCTTTGGGCACTGTCGGAAGCCACAGGCAACAGAGGTCTGCACGGGCACCTGTGCTCCATCCGTGTCCCCATGGACACCTCCTACATCAGTCTGTCTGGGGCAGCTAAAATAATCCCAGGAATAACGTTTCCATCCCTCTTGAGCCCTCCCTTATGGAGCTGCCTCTCCCACCCCGTCCCAACCTCTCCCCAGTCGCTAAAAATAAATTGCATCTGGTTAGAGCCTAGTGGCTGAGGTCTGAGACTGAACCACAGGGGAGCCAATGTGAAACACCCCTGGTGGCCAGGACCCGCCGGGAGGCTTTTGTCAAAGGGCTGCTGGGAAAGATGTTCTTGAAGCAAAGGCGCCCAACCAGAGAGGAGACCCACGTGTCAGTCTTGGGTTGTCACACCGCAGCCCCAGTCTGGGCACTGGCAACCCAAGCTGCTTTGGGGTCCTAGAGTAGGAGTGACCGGGCCAGGCTCCCTGTGGCAGTGACCGCTGTCAACTGACCACATGCTGTCTGCGGGCCCTGGCCCAGCCCAGGAGGGAACCTCCCTCCACCCTCGCTGCCCGTCCCATCCCCCTCCTTCCAAGGTCTCTGACCTCTTGGGCCCACTTTGACCTCTAGTCCAAGCTGAGTAGAGCCACGGGGGCTTTCAAGCCATGAAGGGGGAGAGTCTCCATGTCCCTGAACTCACTGGTACTGAGGGAAGATCCCTCTTCTGCCAGGAAAAGTAACCACCTCACACAAGTAGACTGACATCTGCATGACGCTCGTGGATCCTAAAATAGGTCTTTGAAAGAAACTTCCAAACCACACGGCTAGGAAGTAGGCATTAGTTTTGTTCCTGGAAGCTCACGAGCCAGAGAATGGTCGGGGGACAGGCTGTTCCCCTGCTGCTTTGTTACTCTGGAGACAAACCCCATGGCAATGGTATCCGTCCCCAGGCTGCTGGGACAGTTCCTGGGGAGGCGGAAGCAGTGTCCACTGTGAGACACGCCACAGGGTGTCTCCTCTCCGCCACCGCTGTGCTCCTCACGCTGCTGACAAAGGGTGAGAGCTTTTAGGAACATTCGCCAGCATCAGATACAAGAAAAATGCCCCTAGAGTAGTATTTACACATTAGACACATCAATGACGCCACATGGTTCAGTCCTACTCCAGAAGGGTAGCTAACTCTCCAAAATGCTTTATTTAAGAAAACTGGAACATTTGATGGTAACCTAATACACAGACTCAAGACGTCCAGGGAGCTTTGCTTCTCTCTGGCAGGTGGAGGAAGCACCTGCCTCTCCTGTGTCCTGACTCAAGTGGCAAGTTCAAGCTTCTGCTCAGGCCAGGGCTGTCAGGGTCTGAGGTGTCCCTCTGTCCCGTCACTAGTGCCCAGGCCCGAGAAGGGCTTCGGCACCATTCTGGTCACTTCTGCCCCCAGATCCACACAGTACCTGAGAAGGCTGGGACAGTGAAACCCTGGAGAACCCTGGTTCCGTAAGATTCCTCCTCCTGCCTGTAGCTCCTGCCCTCCACCCACCGGGGGGGGGGGGGGGACTGTGGGGTCCATAAGAGATACTTCCTTAAGAAACAGGGCTAGGGGCCTGACTGGGCTGATCATCCCAGACTGCCCTGCAACCCAGCCACTGGAGGAAGAGAGCAGGGCCTGGGAGACAGCCAGGGCCCCTGCCCCACCACATCTGGACCACAGGGAGGAGGGAACAGTGCAAGGGAACGCCACGCCCACCCTTGCAAACCTCGGGCTGGTGTTAGTCACCAAGGCCTCCAGACGCTCTGGGCTATGCGGGCAGCAGTCAGGCTGCCCAGGCCCGCTGGCACCAAGTCTGGCCCTTCAGCAGGTGCTCGGGTCAGTTCAGCCTCGGGGGCCTCCTCCAGGTCGGAGCACAGGTCGTCCCCGGGGCCTGGGGGACTGGGCAGAGGGGACCCCAGGACCCCTCCCGTGGGCCAGCCGCCTCGCCCAGGGGCTCCCGGAGGCCCAGCCAGGGCGTCCCCCAGCAGATCCCGGAAGCTGCTGCCCTCGCGCAGAGGCATGGACTCGAGCAGGTGGTTCAGGAGTTCTGCGGCGACGGTGGCATCGATGGCCTGGCACGTGGACACGAACGTGTGCACCTCGTGCATGCACTGGATGTAGCCAGCCGCGAAGCGCTCGCTTGCTTCCGTCTGCAGCTGCTCGCGCTCTGCGCCCAGGAGTGGGAGGGAGAGAGCGGCGCCCCGTCGGGTCAGCAGCCACTGCGGTGGCCAGGCCCGCCCAGCCCGCGGGGACAGGGCTCGCCCACGAGGCCCGGAGGTCGCCCTCGCCGCCGACAGTGCAG